TACTGCAATAAACAACTCATTATTAACAGATATTTTCTTATGACATTTATATAACATTAGAACCAAAACAAACCTGTCATTTTATTTCTTTTATACATGTGAAGAAGGGTAAACATTTTCCTAGCCTATTAAACATTTTATTTTTTTTCTAATTCACCCTTTATCTTATTTAATTTCTTTAGGTTAAATTTCTTTCAGCAATCATTCAGAGAATCTTTATTTAAATAAAAAAAAAAAAACTTCATTTAAATTTAAACATGAAATCTTTAACAATTTCAATCAAATTTCAAAATAAAAATAAAGAAAACGAATTTGTGGTGAAAGAATGAGATTCCAAGTTTCAATCGATTTAAAAGATTTCTAATGAATTCTTAGCAAAAAATCCCAGTTTTTTCTCTCCAAATAATCACAAGGCTTATTTTAAAATACAAGTTCACAATCTCCTATCCAAAACTGTTGGTACCAGACACTTTTTGGAATTTTTCAGATCTTGGATCTGTGTTACAGATACTGTGTTAGGGCTGATTGTTATTGTCATTGCGGTGAATCTTGAAAATATTTACAAAGAGACAAGTAAATTGAGACTATAAATAATATTGCTGTTTATATATAGAGTGGTGAACAAAATGCAATATACAGGGTGGTCCGAAAGTCTTGTCACTCTAAATAATATAATTTTTTCTATTTTAGATGGCTGAAATTTCTGGCACACATGCTCCCAAAAAGTGTTCAGTTTTCAGATTTTTTCACTTTTCAGAAGATTGAATAAAAAGTTGCATACCTGTATTTATTTAAAATCTTAAAAAAAAAACCCAAAAAAACCAAAAAAACAAGGATACTGAATTCAAATTAAATTTTTTCTTAAACACATTTATATATTTCTTAAACATATGTTATTATATATGTTTATATGTTATAAACCTTTGGTTAACAATATAATACACTTATTCTAATATGAACAAAAGAGCACATTTCCAACTTACCTAACAAGTTATTGCTTCAGTAAAGTCCTTGGCATTAATCTGATACTAAGCTGACATGTTTCTTATGGTGACTCTTAAATCACCTCTTTAACTTAAATTCTTTTCTATATCAGGATTTACTACCAATAAGAACTCCCATATTTTTATAAAATAAATTTTACTGAAAATCCTTTTTAAATATGACTGTCAAAGTGTGAAAATATGCTGATCAGTGGTATGAAATCCTGTTATAAAAACCAGCAGTTGGCAATTATATCTTATTATTTTCCAGTGCTATAAATATAAAAATGATTGCATTTTAAGTGAGAAGCCAATATAAAAACAATAGATTTTCAATTACTACACTATTATTTGGAGAACAACAGACTATTAGATATTTAATTGTAATAGAGCACACACCCATTGTATATTTGGACAGTAGTCCTTTTATACAAGTTTCATTGAATACAGTGGAAAATAAATATTTTATTTTTTTTTTATTCAGTTTTTCTGATATTCTTACAATTTTTCTTTTATGGGAACTAAGAGTGTGTAGGAACTGTGTGTAATGATTATTGTCCAAAATGCTTTCAGATAATTTTTTTTCTTAGTCAGTTTTCAAGTAGGGTAGTGTTATTTTTCATTGTTAGTATATTTTGTTTCCTACACTGTGTTGTGTGAGAGGAGTAATAATTTCATTCATATTGGAGATTTTTATTAAAAATTGTAAGAATGATAGAAAAACTGAATAAAAGAAAAAAAAATCACAAAATATTTCTTTCCTGTTAAATATTTAATAAAATATGTGTATGGTGTACACAAAAAATATGGAGGATCAAAAAATAAAATCCATCAATTCTTCAAATATATATATGAAGAAATATAGTTTTAAGGTGTGCTATATTTATGGGATAAAGTGCTCAATATAAGAGATAGAGTGTATGTAAACATAAATATAAAGGTGAACATTGAAGTCAACACTCAGAGGTGACAGGCTTTTTTAATGCTAGACGCAATCCAACACTAGCAGCTTGACGATTGCATCTAGCATGAAACAGCCTGTCACCTCTGAATGTTGACTTCAATATTCATCTTTTTTTATATATATATATATATATATATATATATATAAAAATGAAAGAATTGTTTTTATCCATGTGCTATACATAGATAGATAATTATACCTCATGAGAACAATTTTAATATTTATACCTAATGAGAATTGTAGGTTTTACAAGTATAGGGTCAAGTGTAAAAACTTTTCTTTCACTTAAGAAACGTTTTTAATACCTATTATTCCCAACTTTGCATCAGAGATGGCACTTGTAGTCACAAGTACTAATTACTGCTATCATGGATTTTATAGACATAAAATGAACAGGAAAAGATCATTTTCATTAGATTTGGAAAGCAAGTCTTTTTCCAAGACTAACATTAAGCAGTACTAGCAACAATAAGAATACATGGGTATTTAAATTCTGTAATTTGGCTAGCTAGACTGATTTCAAGGTGAAAATAGGGTACAAGTATCAACCTCTAACATCTCCCTTTTTATAGTTCTATTCTAACCCCTGATATGATGCAGATTTTGAAAAATACTAGTAGTGTAACCACTAGAAATAAAGGCACATGTTTTGATTTCAAATCAGTTTTCCTTCTAAATATGTAGTCTAAGTACTTAGTAGTAAGTAGTAGGTCAGCTAAGATAAAGGAAGTCTCAACCAAGTCTTATTCTATCCCTAGAGCTTAACTTGACCCAAAGCCACATAAAAGTGGTATACCTAGAGAGGACTGAATATTAGTGAACTGTTTGGTGACGTAAGCTTGCTAGCCTTCATCCTGCAACTAGAGACACTCCTGATGTCTACTTGCAGTGTAAAACAAACAGCTAAATAAACTAATGACACTTAAAAACATTATTAGTATTACGTACGTCAAACGCAAAAGAAGTAAAGTGGCAGACAGAAATAAATTTAGCTTTTTTTTTTTTGATGGTATATAAAAGCGGAAGAAAAAAAAAACTTCAAGAAACTATACAAATTCAAAATATTCTCTAATTATTAAGCATAGGTAATTTTAAGGTTAAATGTGTAAAATGTTTTTTATTGTATCAGTGTATAATAATTATTTTCTAATTATGAAGAAAAGCCCACTCCATTATCAGACGGTTGATTGAATAAAAAGAGCCGAAAAGAATTTTTTCATACATCATTTAGATTTTTTTTTCTTATAGATCAACTATTAACCAGATCAATAATTTATTGCACCCTATTTAAAGTTCATATTTATATTTTCTGCGTTATTGCATATGGGCCGAGGAAATTTTAATTTATTCCTTGCTGTTTACTTCTTTAAGGGAATAAGTAACAAAAAATTGCGTTAAAATAAAAATAGTATTTCTTTGAGAAAGAGAATGGAATCAGCACCAAAATCAAGTACTTTTTATTTTTTATTTATTTTAAGTAGTTCTAGATTGAAATAGGAATTTAAACATTTTTTTTTACAATAAGCGGCTTAAACCGAAACGTCTTTAAAACCTGGTCATTTCAAAGAATTAACAACTTTTTTTAAAGAAAATAACTGTTTATTAGTTCCTTGTATTTAAAGAACTACTAGTAAACTACCGGGAATCCCCACTGAATAAAAGAAGCTATTTGACTTCATTTTAAAAAAAGACAAAATTGTAATAAAATATAAAAAAACAAACAATGCATTTCGAAAGATTTCAAAAATACATTTAAAACAAAATACATGCATCATTGCAGTAACAGATGTTTTCCACATTGGAAATGTGTACAATAAAAATGTTTTACATTCCAGCCCCACCTACTGAACATACTTTTTTGGGGGGTGTTTTAAAAAAAATAGTCATACTTGGTGGGTATCGTTGATTTTTACAAGTATTTGACTGAGCACTAGGGTACCTGACCCAGGCTGATGGTGTCTAACGAACAAATTTTGTTCAGTTGATGATGTAATTCTCCTAAAAGACAAGACTTCAGGTCTTTTGGTCTACACAGTTCTCTGTGATTGACCACTGAGCCAAATTTAAGAAATTTATTTTTTTTTTTTTTTAAGTTAAATGATAGCATACAATTTTCGTATATTAACTATTATTGTGCATTGGCACCATCACTTGTAGTTGGGATTTTTTTTTTATTTACGCGATAATCTAGAGATATTATTATCAGCAAGAAAGTATTTTTACTTTTAAACTTAATTTAAGAGCTGAGTGGGACTGACGTGATGGAGGTCTGTGACGAACTCAACTTACAAGTTTGTTTGTTTTTTTTTAACTGACTGACCGTCCTGAACGTAGGCGGTTAGTAAGTTGCGAGTATTTCAGGGTGACATGTGTATAGACTGGTTTATGGTTGAGAACAAGTAGAAAAAAAATTGGGGCGACACAAGAAAAATAGCACTCATATTTTTTTTTTTTAACATTTTTGGGATTTTTTTTCCCGCGTACTACACAGTTTGGTGTGTTGTATATCATATTGCAAATAAATACGCATTATTTCAAAATTCTTCAAGACAGTTGAATAGAAAAAAGAGTTTTGTAAAATTCCATTAAGGATTGTTGTTTAATGTAACAGATGCATCACGCACGCAAGAATTCTTTCTTTTCTTGTTTGCTTAAAAGAAGCTCAAGGTATATAAAAGAAAAATACATGGTTTATGTTTTTGTTTTAAATTAATTAATTTAAATTCTAACTGACTTTTATTATATTTTTTATATTTTAGACTCACAGTGTTGGATTTTTTACCACTTAAAAATTTAACTACGATATTGTAGAGGAAAAATATTTTCTCAAAGATGCTGTCTGTAGTTAACTTTTTAAAGTTATTATCGATCCATATTTTTAACTTTAAGCATCATCGTGTTTAAAGTTCAAACTTGAAAATTTAAAATATAGATCGATAATAATATTCATATTTAAATTGTTTTTTGTTTTTTTAGATTCCTTAACGTTTTAATGAGATATATTCGCAATATGACATTATTAAACACACAAAAAAACCCTGACTTCTTAGTTTTTATGGTATGTGTTCAGCTGTGGCTTCTTTAACCGCGGTAATTATTTCATCCAGTAAACAATCCCGGTTTTTTTTAGTGACGGTAATAATACGAACATCTTTTCTTTCGTAAATTTGTTCGATAAGATGAACAGGTTTGCCTTTTTTCACAGGGATGGTGCCCAGCACCACCGACCGTGGGTCATCCATCCGACTACGCACGGCTTGCTGAAAAGCACGACTGATCGATTCCATTTTACCGATTTCATCAATAACAGTTATTCCTGTATTGCTAGCATGTAGTAAAGGAAGTGCAGTTTGCTCAAAAGATTCAACCTGGACAATATACTGACCCAATCGGTAAGGGTCTGGTCGATTTAGTGGACCTGCTTCAGAGTCATGTCCATGTCCGTCGATTCGAGCCAAAGGAGCTCTTAATTGACCATCTATACTAACCACATCGAAGCCCTTCCTACGTCCAAAATGCCGAACTTCTTCCGTGATAAATCCGTGTAAAACGTATCCTTGTTTTTCAAGTTCCTCGCATGTTTTTTGGATCAGTGTTGTCTTCCCGCTGCCGGGTAATCCTGTTAATAAAACATGTCTTGCGGAGGAAAGTGATGCACTGCTGGCCATCTCGTCTGCTGTTTTTCAACTATTATAAACACAACTCAGCAACAAACGGAAGACTGAACACGCACAAAAAAGTTGACAAACAACTCAAGGTAGATAACTCTTATTTTCTATTTTACAGTAGGCACATGTTCCGCGCTATCTTGAGGGGGGCGTGTCTCATATTGAAAAACAAACAAATAAATAAATACAAAAAGCCTACACAAGTATTTTTTATACCAACATTCTTGGCTTTCAAAAGCATAGCGAAAACATGTACATACTGTTCCTAGTTTGATTTTGTTTTTTGTTTTTTCTTATTAAAATAAATGACTTCCAATAGAAATATTCATAAACTATTTTAATTTAAAATAAATCTTAATCCTCACCAAGAGAACACCCTTAATACACCTTAAACCCTAATCTTAAAAAAAGGCGTGTGAGTAAAGTAGGATTTTGTCAAATTTATTTCTATATCTTATTTAATAATTTACTATTACAAACCTAATGAAAAAAATTATTTTGCACAACAAATATTATTTTTCAACATGACCTCCTTCTGACAATACGCTTAATTCATTTAATCACATAAACTGAACATTATACAGTGAAAATTTCAGATCAAAATTCAGCTAATAACTACATGTCAGGCTACCAGACTTTTTGATTCACTATCGTGTGTCAATTTATGAAACCCACACAATGGAAAAAAATATTGAAATTAATAAAATTTTTTAAAAACTTTTAATTCAGTATTATTTAAATTTCTTTCTTAAATTCCATGCTCTTGCAGGATGTAGACAATTATCTATGAATTACAATACATTCTTGGGAAAGAGAGTGGAGTAGCTACCCACTGCCTTCTATATGGTTTAAAATTCAGATTTTCTTCTCTTAGACTAGTTACCATCCAAGACTAGAGAGCCTAGTCTACTTTGCTACTTGAACCATAGTTAGAGAGGGAAGAGATGGATTGATGCCTTTCCCAAGAGCATTAGTGCAACAGTGAATGCAACAGGCTAGCCCAGGATTTGGTCAGCTTAACAATTCCATTTTCCATGTCAATATCCATTACACTGCCCACACATCACTGTTACTGTCATTTAAAACTTAAATTCATTTTTGAATAGACAAGTCTAGACAAAATAAAGGCTTTTTGGAGAAAACATTGGCAGGAATAAACTAAGCTATTTATGAAAATTGTTGCAAATAAGAATTCGTTTGAATATCTGGGTGCGTCAGTTATTGATTAAAGATTTCCTACCCTCAGATGAGAAAGAGAAAATTAAACTAGTAGAATTTTAAATTTATAAAAGTAATAAGAATAGAAGTTTTTAGTGAATTCAGATAATTTTATTTTATGCCAAAAAATTAACAGTATAATTTCCTTGTGTATATGTTATTATATAATGTAATTATAATCATGTTATCATTATGTTATTACATATTTATGCTGTTATAAAATTTCTTATAATAATTTGATAATTGGATCAAAAATCAGGACAAATGGATTTACTCAAGATTAAAGAAATTTTAAAATCATTAATAGGAAAATTTGAGAAATATGACAAATTTACTCTATTGCTTGTTTTTTTTTTATATGCAAACAGACTTTATAGTATAAATTAATGTGTTTCTAATAAAGTTGGTATTAACCAATAAATATTGGTAAAATTTTCAGGATATGCTTTTATGATAAATACTTCTGAGAACATTATTCTTATTATAAAAAAAAATAAGATATAAAAATAATAATGATGAAAATTATAAATAAAATAAAATTTACACCTCATTTAAAATAAATTAAATAAATAAAAAATAAAAATAATAAAATTATTCCTATCATGAAACAGGGACTGTTACTACTGGAAGTACAGACATCTTTTCCACTTTCCAATGACATCGTTTGGACATGTATTGGCAGACTTACTCATGAAATAAGCGAATTAGTCATTTCAACTCCGTGCAAAGCTGACTTGAGCTTAACTATTTTAACCATTCTTATCCTAACTTTTGAACCAAAAAGGAAAACAGACATACCTAAGAGACATTGAGAACTTTGTTTCACTACTATCGCCATAAAAGGAATACCACCTTTTAGAATTCCTGTTTTAACTTCAACAGAATCAGTTTCACCATCAGGTTATACAGTGGCAGCAGTGGTATTTCTGTGGTATTGCCTTAATGATTCTGGAGGGTATACCATAGAGATAGGGGATTTTCAACATGAGATCTCTCTTGATGGAATCAAACACCCTGCAAAAGTCAACAAAACAGATTGTGACCTCTTTGTTGAATTTTTTTTCATCTCTTCCTGTATGCAGCAAATGCAGAGGATTTGAGCAGTTACCAATCTGCTTCTTTTAAATCCATTCTGGTTCTTGTAGAGGAGTGGATTGATGTTAGGGACAATCCTATTTAGTAGAATCTTATTGTAAACTTTTGCTGCAATTGACATGAAAGTTCTACCCCTATAGTTTGTCACACTTATTAAACCATTTTTATTTGGGGGGGGGGACTATTCCACCCTTCACCCAAACTAAAGGTAGCAAATGGTGTATGAATGTGTGGTTTCAAAACTCAAGGAGGAGGTCATGAAATATTGGATCATTCTACAATAATTTTTGGTATGTTTTCAAGACCTGGATATTTGTTGTAGGCAAAATCTTTGAGTGTTGTTTTGAGTTCATCAAGCATGAATGGGTTGGTGATTATGTCCAGTGTATTGGAAGTGGAAGACCACTGACTTGTGGTGGTTCTCCCAGGAGTTTCTTAAAGTGGCCAAACCATTTAGCTTTACACTTTTCAGTGGAACCACCTTTGAGCCAAATGGAAAGCTTTGATTTTCTTCCTGAGAGTATGTTTATTATTTTCCAGGCTGTTGCATGTTGATTCTCCAATGCAGTCTTTCAATCTTGTCAATCTCCTCTTGGATGTACTCTACATTGGCATGGGCTTTGTCTAGTATCCTTTGTGCTTTAGTGATATCTTTAAAAGTACTTCTAATTAGCTTTTCTTCATAACTCGGTTTCACTCTTTGCAGATGGCAAGACTGATTCCTTTGAAGTTAAAGAAGGAGTTCTACAAGGCGACACATTTTAAGGAATCTAAAAAAAAGAATGGGAAACAATATTCAAATAAAGAAGATCTCTCATCTCCCTCCTCCTCCTCCTCTTCCTCCTTCTCATCATCATAATCATCATCAGCCTTAGTTCCATGGCCCTATTGTGGTCATAGGGCCATTGAGCAGTTGACCAGTTTCCTTCACATTCCTTCCACCATATCACACTACCTATATACATAGCTATATTCAGTTTGCTTCATTGTGCTTGATGGTTCATCTGCCCTTTGATAGGTCTAGTTGACATTTAGCAAATGTCATGATTCTTACTTTACAGAAGAAAGGGAATTATGAATGTATTAACATTGAGAAGCTGCCCTGTTGTTTCAGTTGTCAGTGAGTCTTTTGATCTCTAGCCATTTTGCTTATCTCTTTGGTGAAAGGAATCAATTGGTTTAGATTAATGTATTTTGAGCTGACTGACTACAACCTGTTGCATTTTTAGTTGACTGAATACAACTTGTTGCAAAGTTTTGTATATATATGTTTTTAGAGGAATCAATCTCAAAAGATTTTGGATTTGCTCAGATCAACAATGATTAGTTGAAAATTCTCTATTTATACCTTGTGATCTTTTTGCCACTCTGTCCAATATTTTCAGCATGTGAGTAAATTTCTAATCTTATTTTACATCACACAGACACACATATTTATGTCAATCCTTTTTCTGCGTGGCTTTTTAACATGCCTTGCAGATCTTTACATACTGTCTTAACTATTAAATTTTGGATTTAAAGGAGAGTAAACAAAGTAACTCAATCAAAAGTAAGTTGTTTTTTTTTTGTTTCCATTTCTTTTGTATGTCACTGCTGACTAAATATCTATTACTTTGGAAATTGTCACGCAGTCAGCATAATACTCAAAATAGAGAAAGACCACAATTTTTCAAATCTCTTATACAATTTCAGGAAACATAGTGTGTTTTCAATTTTAAATATTAAATAGTAGTCATTTTTATTTTAATCATTTCACACCAAGCAAGGTAATAAAGTCGCTAAAACACAAGAGGTTACTCAGTGTGAATGAATGATAAAAAGAAAAAAATATTAAGGAGAGAGGACAGTAAAAGAATATGAATTAAGAAGACAGAAGATAACGATTGACATTGCATTTAAATTTTTGAAGATCAAAGTTGACTGGAAAGCAAGAAGTCGGAAGAGTAGTTCCACAAGAGAGATGTGCGAGAAAAGAAACTGTTAACATAGAACTTACGGTTACATCTAGCCATTTCACCACTAAAATACGAGATCTTGCCGCCAATTTAATACTGCGCTTAAACTCATAAAGTTGTGGTACCACAGAGTAAAGTCCATCAGAACAAATACCATGAAAGTATTTATAGAAAAGTTACAAGGGAACTACGTTACAGATACGTTTCTAAGACCATGCAAATTTAGTGTTACTTACCCCGATGGTCGTCTGGCATGCGAGTAGTGGGGAGTCAAGGCTGGAATTCATTGACATTTTTTTTTGTTTTGGAAAACAAAAAATGACAAAAAAAAGCAAGTTTTTTTTTTTGGAAGGTATGTTTTTGAATGTTTTTATCGGTTGTAAATCTTCCTTGGGTTTAAAATTTACTAATGCAACCACACTGTTTTAATATTTGACGTTGAAACTAGAGGTAAATTGTTTTAATTTGTGACTTTAAAATTTTAATTTAGCCTAAGGTTTTTTGATTGTCCCCAAACTATTTTGCAATTTTTTGGAAGCAACAAGACGTCCACACGCATACAAAGACATTTTGGGTACTCTGTAAAAATACATTTCTTCCTACTTATAGGCTACCGAAATTGCAATACGCTAAAAATATACTTATTCAAATCATTTTACATTTATCATAAATTTTCATCAATTTATTACTTGTAAATATTGGGACTAAAATATTTCTAATTATTATTTTAATTAACCCTCGTTCATATCAACTTATCAAATTATGGAATTGGCATTGATGACTTATAGGAATTTACAGCTGCTTTGAGAATTTTTTATTTGCAAAATTTTAGAATATTAAAAATATATATATCGAAGACATTTCAATAACTTGAGTGAAGAAATATTTAATGTATTGAAATTTGGAACGATATGCCTCCGATGGCAAAATAGACAATGTTTTTTTATTGCCGCCTTTTTATGGGGTTGGAGGCGGGAGATGGCGCTTCCCTTTGATTGGGAGAGATTGTCCTCAGTCGATTAAGACGCTTTGTATTCTGGTTCCGTGTTCAACTGATTTATTTTGTCACGTAAAGTAACGTGTTACCTCGAATATTCGACTTACACTACAGTGTCGAATTATTTTCCTTAATAGATGAAATAATAATAATATTTACTTAACTTTAAAATAATGCTATATATCTGGTTTTATTTAGAGAGGGGAAGAAGGGAAGGAGAGTTTTTGTATTGAATGACTTTGAAGAAAAGATTTTATTAGCTTGGGTAGAATTCCGTAGCTGAGATTTGTTTGAATCTGAGAAACTTTGAAGAAAAGATTTTTATTTTTCTTCGGTAGAATTCCGAAGCTAAAAGAAGCAATTTAATTCCCAAGAAGAGGATTTATGGCATTTGATTTGTTTGTTGACTCGGAGAGTCAATGTTTGTTTTTTGTGGCAGAGTCGTTCGAGGCGGTAATTCGGTTCCAATTCTCATTCTTTACTTTAAAAACCAGATTTTAAAATATTTTAAAAGATATTAATCTTGGAATCAGATTTTATTAGCCTAGGTTAGGAGTTGTATTTTTATTTCTCCCTTTTAGCCCCTCAAAAAAGAGAAAAAGAATTGTGAAGAAAAGAAGATAAGTGTATCTGAAGAAAAAAGAGAAAAAGAATTGTGAAGAAAAGAAGATAAAAGTATCTGAAGAAATTGACTGTTAAGAAAAAAATTTTAAAACAAGTTTTTCATTGTAAAAGAAAGGTTGTCAATTTAGGGAATGATACATTCTATAGACTGACAAAATTGTTAATGTAAGTAAATCCCTTTGTTTATTATTATGCTTTGTTACTATTTAGCATATGGAACAATATGTATGGAAATTTTGTTTTATTGAAATAAATATTTTATCTGTGAACACTATATCTTGTTTTTTTTATCTACTAAATTTAACATAATCTGCTTCTTTGAGTGGTTTTGTTTTACTTTCCTATGAAGAAGCCGAGAACAAAATCGGCAGTATGGTCCTGTGTCTTAATATATTTATTTATAATCTAAATGTATTTAATTTAGGACTATTAATTTTTCTTCACTGTACAGATGACCCCTAGGACCAGTAGACATTATGAAGAAACGATAACTCAATGCCTGCAGCTAGAAAGTGTGTGTGTGATTGATTGATTTTTTACGGCTTATCAACCTTTTGCAGGTTATTTAAAGCCAGAAAATATTTTCGATTGTAAGACTTTGGGTAGATAAGGATTTACTAATACAAGTTCTACTAATTAACACAGGTGGATTCATACGTTTCCTAATGGTATTTGCGCGTAAGTGAATATTAACGAAACTGTCTGAAATTGGAACTCGGCTCTCTGACTTCCAATTTTGAGCTGCTATCCATTACACCACCCGCACATACAAGTTTGCAGCACCTGCTATTCCCAAACGGTCACTCATCTTGGTAATAACCAGGCTCGATGTTGCTCAACTTCGGTGATCGTACGAGAATCAAGGTTTCAACGTGATATGACCGTAAGTCTCTCTTTCTCTCAGCTCTCTCTCTCTCTCTCGCTCTCTCTCTCTCTGTGTACAATAGCATAGTGACCTGTTTAGAAACCCCTTCTTTATTCAAGATAAGTATGCATTGGAATTATTTACCCTAGTTTCTAGAATTGGAATTATTTACCCTACGCTGACGTGCCTTACCGCTAGGCTACAAAGAAGCGTATATGACGGTTCCGTATAGGATGCAGGTTCGAATCCTGTCAAAGAACGAATATTTTCTATGAAAATTTCTCGGACATTCAGGCCGGTAAATGTTATTTAATACTGTTTATCATAAACAGAGCATTTGCTTAAATACTTGTATCTATAAAATAACAACGTTAAACATAATAAAATGTCTTTAATAAATAAATTGTCGGACCTTGTCCATTTCTTAATATATGTATGTATATATGTATGTGTGTATTGTATATGTGTGTATCTATCTATTACTTTTATTACTATTATTATTACTTTAAATAAATATATATATATATATATATATATATATATATATATATATATATATTTTATTACTATTAAATGATGATTATGTTTAAATGAATAACAACATAGATTGCATTTCTGTGATTTTTATTACTGATTGCGCAGTTAAAGTTTTATCCATAAAATTTTCCCCTACCTTCCCTTACTGCAATATTCTCAAAAAATCTAAAGTAGGATCTGTAATGTAATCGGTACTGAATTAGCTTCTTGACTTCAGCCGCTTTCTCACAGACGTGATGTGGCTTCCCTCTGTCTTTTCTACAAATATTTTCATGGCTACTGCACTGATGAGCATTTTTCCCTGGTGCCCTGACTACATGAATTTAAGTGTACTACTAGATTGGCATCTAGGTCCCAACTTTTTACTGTTGAAAGAGTTAAATGTAACCGCCCTTCTAACACTTTGTTTCCTCGCACTTCTCCATATTGGAACTCCATTCCTCTCACTTGCTTCCCTGATAACTACAATCATCAAAAACCTAAATGTAACCTCAGTCACCATGTTTTGTTGCATTGATACCTGTTCTTTTTACCTTTCTTCAATCCCCCCTACATTCACTCTTGTCTCTCATTTTCACTCTCCATAACCCCCTGTGTGATAATGGCACTTCTGACTTGCTTGAGGTGAAATGCTTAAAAAAAACCCAAAACATTGAATATAAAATAATTAGGGTACTGACAAAAGCATCTAATAAAATAATTAGGGTACTGAAAATAACATCTACCACAATCAAAGGTAAAGCTCTCCCTACCAACAGCTAAAATGATAAAAAAAGTGCTCAATACAATATATATATATATATATATATATATATATATATATATATATATATATATATATAAAAGGCAGGATGTGTGTGTGTGTGTGTGTGTGTAACGAATGCACGGCGGCAATTTTGACGGATTTGCACCAAAATTTACATGCACATGCTCCAAGTTAGTGGGAAGGCCAAGGCTGACTTTGCATTTCCCAACTCCCATCGATAGCGGAAATAATCAATTTTTTCATGCTTCTACGGCAGTTTTCATGTAGTTTGCGGCCATTTTCTACTGGCCAGAGTGAGAGCCTATAGCTGGCTGCCACGAATAGGCAGGAAGATTGTATTGGCCAGCATGAGAGCCAACAGCTGCCTGACACGAATGTTAACTAGCATATTAGCATGCAAAAAAAATCGATAGCTGCATTCGTCACAAGTGGGAAAAATTTAAATCTGCATAGCACTTTACTCCAATTGGTTCATTCGCTTGCTTAAACTCAACGTTGATTCTGATTCCACAGAACTGGGTTGGGTGTGAAAAAGTATTTGTTGTTAACATTCTTTTTTCATTCAGTTCTTCCAGTTACGAGTCCTTTTTTAAAGGGGATCGTTTTGTGTTCATTTTGTTTAGTTCTTATTTTCGTAACAGATTTAATGTTTAGTATAGAGCTTAGAAAAAATTCGCAGTGTGAGATAGGCAAGAAGTAAGGCATGTAGCAACATCAGCACGGCAAAGGGCACTCCTTTAAAGGCAAGGAAGGGCAAAAATATTTTAAGTCAAGTGATAGTGATTGCTGTATTTTTTAATCAAGCACGGGCAACGCCGGGCCATGCTGCTGGTATACAAATAAAACCTTACAATACGAACATTTTTTCGAAATAGTTGCAAAAGAGGAAAATGTTTAAAATATGTAATATAAGTTGTATTTAGTAAACGTTGTTTACTTATTACTGGGGAAATATTTAATCACGTGGACACATTTTCATCTGCATAAAAAAAGAAGGAACAATTTTCTAAGTGAGTTTCATTTATAAGAAATTTTCTGAATTTTTATTATTTTAATTTTTTTGGTCCTTTTTGGTCGTTAAAAGTGTGGTATTTTGAACTTAAACATAATTGCAAAAAACATTTTCCTAACATGAATACAAAAATGTAAAAAATAAATTATGGAAATTTCTTAAATAACAGTGTCAGTCCAGCCAAATGACGTAACCTTGAGAAACCGCCAACGCAACCGGAAATTGGCAAGGTCTGAATTCAGTTCTCTACACTTTTAATGACCTTTGTCCATAACACATTTTATTTATTTAACATGATTTTTTTTTAAACAGCATCCAGCAAACAAAATTTTTTTTGATGACGTGATGTGTGGATACTTTTTATTGTTTCTTTATCGTAAATGTGTTGTTAGTTTTTCTGTCTGTTTCCATTTTTCTTTTTCAAAAAGGATTTTTTGGAGAGTGGGGGCGGGGGTAGCGAGTAGGAGAAGAAAGAAAAATCTCTTGCTCCAAGTATTATGAAAGGTACAAACGAAAAAACACAAAACTCTTACTCCGGTGTGCAATTTGAAAGGAATTTACATTTATTAAATGACATAAAAATAATAATAGCACATAATACAAATTTACAAAACAGGCTTGCACAAAATTTTCCTTTGGGTGACACACAAGGCAAGTTCACAAGTTCTCATTACAATTCGGATGGGCTCATAAAATCAATAATTATAATTATATTTAGTTCGATTCGTTAGACTGTTTACTTCGATTCGTTAGACTGTCAAAAGGAGTTGAGAAGGATGGCAAATTCACAGGCATCTCTCGGTTTGTTTAGACAATAATTCAACTTTACAAATTTATATGAGATATATCACAAAATGCTCCTCTTTAAACCACACCTGTTCGCAAACTTTATTTTGCCGGGTTTTCAGACTTGAGCTTCTTTTTTTACATGTTTGAAAGCCAAATTTTATACATGCATCTTTTTCATAAACCGTCAGGCTTCATTTTGGCGGTATTCTTACAAGATCAGTTTGAGCCTAACAAATACAAAGTGTTTCGAATTAAATTCTATTCAAACTATTTCTTTACTAACTGGCTTCATTGTATCAATTTTTTATTTAAAGAAAATGTCAGTAACTTTCTTTTTTTAATAAAAGAAAGTTTAATAAACAAACTTAGTGTATTGTATTATTTTTTAATTAACTATTTAATTAATTTATATAATCTTACTTTTCTTTTTTATTATATATTTTTTATTTCTTTTTTGATTGTGGTATTCCCAATTTTACTTTATTTTTGGTGGGAATTTTTAAACTAGGAGCAAAATTCTAGTATAACAGTTGTTTGACTTTTGAACGTGTTGACAATCGCTGCTGGGAAAAATGTATTCTTTGTTATATTTTTGCAAAAACTAAATAATATTTTTATAAAATCTAATTAATTAATCTTTAAATTTATTATTTTTCAACGAAAGAAATGTCCGAGACAGATATCGGATTTTTAAGAGATTATTTTAAAATTGCTATAATTTCTCGCTTATCGGCGTCCATTAAATGCGAGTTTTTTTTGTTCTGTTTTTTTTTTTTTTTTTTTTTTTTTTGGCTTAAAAGTGTTTAAAATCTTTGTTATTTCTTTTTATTTTTCTTTATACGGATTAACCTTAGGTTATTATGTTTCAAATACAACCAAACTTTAACTTCAAAGAAGATATTTAAATTATTTAAACGCTTTTTATTCAAAGAAGTTCCGTGAAGATGTAGGGTCAGTCTACTCGGATTAATAGTGAAAAATTAAAATCCGAGTATCGTACCCACAAATACAGCATAACGCGAAGAAATGTTTTTTTTTTTTTTTACATAGGCAAAAAGAAAAACTAGATTGTAATAATCATATATTTTTGTGTACATGTTAAGATTTGTTTTTATCTGGTAAACATTGTGTTTGTTCTGGCCTTAAAAAAGCAAAGTTCAAATGTTCGACAAAATTTTCCATTTTAGAAGGTAGTTCGTAAAGTCATATGCTTTGGTCAATATAACGTGTGTATATATGTGCGTTTATCTGAAGCACATTTTAACGGAGTTTATGTGTGGCTGCTGATTGAATGTGTGTAAGTGTAGGTGAAGCCCATTAGTGGAAACGTATGTGTGGATGAGTGCTAATACGTGAAATTTGATTATGGTGGGTCCAAAAGGAAATGGATATAAAAATAGATGATCAGACTTATTTGTCCACGGCAATCAATATTTCTTTGAGTTGTGTGAATATTCCTTTGAATGGCGTGTAGTCGTCGCTGACTGAGGTGTTGTCATGGAAACGAGAGAATTCTGGTCGGATGTTTACAGATTCAGCCGCTTGTCATCAACGGGTGATCGTACGTCCAGCTGCTGACTGAGTTTTTGCTCTGTGTGTGTTTTTATTGCCACCGAACTCGGTGTATATATAATTATCCTGATCACGTGATTGACTCCAAACGAAAGTTTTTCGATTTACGCGAGATAGCACCCTGTGACCAGTTAGTACGAACGTAGTGGGAAGCATAGCATGTGACTGTACTGTTTAATCAAATTCCAGAAACCACTTATTTAATTTTGGATCCTATTTTTTTTTTTAATGATTTGTACAAAAGTTTTTGTTTTAGTAATTATGATCCTATTTATATGTGGGCGTTTCTTACTTATCTGTGTTTCACCTATCGGTTGTAAAATATATGATTTTATATCCTATAGAG